GAAGAAGAAGAAGAAGAAGAATTAGTGGAACTGTTTTTAAACAACAAACTTTGTCTGCTATCCTTTGTAGATAATCTGCTTAAACATTTACCATGTTTAAAAGTTTTACAATGCTGCTGCACAGTAAATCGCTTTTCTGCCGTAACTTTCACGCCACACAACTTACAATAAAATATCTTGCCATCGGTACTAAACACTTTATCACCAAACTCCTGTACAAAACTACGCAACCTTGCGCTCCTTGAACTACATGTACTCACTTTAGGCATTGTAAGGTCAAACTGAAGTCTTATAACGCCCTCCACATATATAAATAGAATACTTCTAAGCCCTCCAAGAAAGAATGGGATGTATATACCTTATAGTAAGACGGAGTACAATAGGAAAATACCCGTTACACTTGCCTCCCTCCCGCCTCGACTGGGAAAAGCCGGCTTGCCAGGTCATAAATGCTACATTTCACAAATTTTCGCCTTTGTAACTGCAAGTACAGTCCAGTCAAAAATATGGTTTTTAATACGAACTTCATGTACTTGAACTCTATTCCACATTGAAGCAACAGTCCAGCCTGGAATTTATTTTGTAATACTAAACATTATGGAACCGAAATTTTACATTATATCAAAGTATTGTTTCTAAAATGACAAAAATATGACCTTATTTCAAAATTATGCCAAAATATGCTGTAAAATAAAAAAAACTAAAATATGCATTTATATGCACAATAAAAAGACATAATTTCAATAAGAATGACTGGAAACATGCATAATTACATTTAAAAATAGGAATAAACCCTAGGAAAAAAATATGACATGTCATAGAAATCCGGGCCCTAGTTATAAGGAACAAATTGTAATGTTGTGTAATGTTTACGTTCGCGTGTGTGAGGATGGTAATTCACACGCGAACTCAGGATGTTAGGAGTTTGTCGCTAAGTCGAGAGACTTAGAAGGTAACGTATTATTTAGCTGCCACCACTTGATGGTACTGCATCAAGACAGGTGCGATGTTACTACACTGCTCCAACAGGTGAGATGCGCTGGCCAGCTGTGATGTTGAACACTACCTGCCGAAGTCGTTAGCGTGTTGAGAACCGAAGCGTTAGGCGGGTGGATAAGCGAGATCTCCTTGAAGATTCGAATGTGTGAAATAAGGTAGACGACACGAACTTGTGAGGTGAAACCAAACACTTTACTTGTTCAAGACATGAAATAAGTATAAAACAGGAATCAAACCCCTGACTTTACGAGAGCGGTGTGCTCTCAAACGCACAGTACGTGCTGCACTAGATTAATGGTTTTTACATCCTCGATTGGTTACAATGCCAGCCCTTATATAGTATTGTCTTCGGGCGTGGCAAAATCATGTGACTTCATAGCGTCCGGGCCTGGATGGCCCCTGGATATTGCAGCCTTTTCTCAGAACCATAACGTCACTCTTAGTGCCGTGTGCAGCTAAGATGACTTCATTTTCAAGTTGCGAAATATCTGTTTATATTAGGCTTATTCTCAGTTCTATGCTATGTGTCTAGGGTATCTCACAGTATTATATGCCAAATTAATGCGAGAAAACATCATTAAATCTCATAAAATACAACATGTGGTGACGTCATGTAACATACCAGCGTTACCACATTACAAAATAAAATAGAATCCTTCAGGAAAATAATGCCATGGTTGTCAACCCTTAAGCATTCAGTTCAATTTAACTAACATCCCATCTCTTATCACGCGGTGGGGTATTTGGTTGAGACACTATGGTACAAGCTGGAAGGTCGTGGGCTCGATTCCCGATGAAGTGGATTTTATTCAATTGAACTAATTCTTGCAGCCACACTATGGCCCTGGGGTTAACTCAGCCTCTATCAGAAATGAATACCAGGTATCTTCCGGGGAAGGGGTAAAGGATGACAACCTTACGCCATCTGTAGCCGATTTTCTAGAGAAAATGTGGGAGCCTCGACGTCTCACAACCCTATGGGCCTTCACGGCCTCTTAAAGGAATAGCTTTACCATTTTTAACTGTCTCTTATTTTGAAATATTTCCAGTGTAGCTTATGTTTATACAATGTACATACTTATTTAATATAACTAAAAAATTGGAGATAATTTTATCACAGTTGTTACAAACGGTTTTATGTATTCAGGGCAGGGATGACAAATGGCTTTGAATTAAGACATTCTGTATGTAGCATTGGGACACGCGGTAGCGCAGTTCGTTGAGACACTATGCTACAAGCCGGAAGGTCGCTGGATCGAATTCCGATTAGGTGGATTTTATTCAATTGACCTAATCCTTCCAGCCGCACTATGGCTTTGGGGTCGACTCAGCCTCTTAACAAAAATGAATACCAGGAATATTCTTGGGGGTAAAGGGCGGCCTGCGTGTAAGGCTGACAACCTTACCGCCATCTGTGAGCCGATTGTCTAGAAAATTGGGAACCTCAACATCTCACAATTCTCATATATATTGATATACACACATACGCACGCACGCACGGAAGCGCGCACACACACACACACACACAGAGGCTAATTTCAATCGCCTCCGGCACACAGATCACCGCTCTGTCCATTATGTGCACCTGTGCAGAAGTGTCGCTTCTAAAACGGCACACATCATCATCCAAAACTCGACCTATATTTTTTCCAGCAAGTCGAATAATGTGGACAGTTTAATAGACAGAGTAGAATAGTGAAACGAGGAGGAGGTAACTGAGGAGATGTGTGAATGATACTAAGATATGTTTTAAGGAAATTAGCACTGAGTATGGCAAGTGGACGAAACTGTCAGTACAGTGCTCGGTGGTGAGCAGGTATTAGCGGTTTGTACTCGTACTTTGGTTTCGCACACCAATACTCACGTGTAATCATCTTTGCTTTTTGTTCGTACGATTTCTATGCAGGTTGCTGACAGGGACGATTTTGAGACTTCTTCTGAAGTTGGACCAAACTGGCGTCTGATTGGCCGTCTGCTGGACCGGATGAGTTTTCTCGCATTCACTGTGACATACTTTGTTTTATTGATTGTGTATTATTTGTATTACCTCTAAGTTTCACCGTAATAACAAAGAGTTTACAAGCATTCACACAGTTGTATGTAGCTATATACATTTGGAAGGTCTGCAGGATCAATGAACTGAACTTCAATCTCGGTTGACTTATGAATAAATGTTAAAGGAACTACATGCCTTTTGTTTATTTCCTTCATCACTGTGTCACCTGTGTTTGTTTATCCTCTTGTGAAAAATTTAGAAGGAAACGGACATAAGGTAGTGTTCAAGACTTGGGAAAGAGAACTGAGAACAACCACGGAAATCTTCAATCAGGATAAACGGCCTTTAGACGTAGATCTCGAAAGGCGTTCTGTGTTACTACGTGACATAATTTTCCTTTTCAAAATGAATCTCTTAATGTTAGGAGCCTTTGTTGGCAACGTCCATGAGGTTCTGATATTAGAAATTCACAGCTGTGTAAGTGAAGTGGACCGCAGCTTCTGCCCTCGAATGTGATCTATTCCCCGAGGTTAGTTGATACCAGATCCGTCGTATAGAAGTTTACAGGCAGAGACGGGTCACATCCGAGTCAGGAGAAGAGAATAAGAGGCAGCCCTAAGGCCCAATAAAACATCAGTACTTCAGATGCGAATTTTCGTCGTTGGCCTCTCTCGTTGATCCATTTTTCCGCTCAGTAGATGGGGGCGGGTCCAGGACAGCCGACACTGGTGTCGGATTATGAGGTGATCTGGCTTCACTTCGTTTCCACATCACGTGACCGAGAGTGATGGCAAAATGTGGCAGTGGCTGTGTATTTCCAGTGAAAGACATCATGCCTCTTATGCCGTCACTCCCGTGTTTCTTCGTTTTAATCGCTATTGGTGAGTTCAGTATTATTTAGTAGATGCCATTCTGTCTATACATTCAGATGGAAACCTGCAGATGTGTGATCATCTGTTTTGCATGGAAACAAATTTATTATCTGTGAGTGTGTCTGTCAATACCAGCTCAACGAAAGATGGAATTTTGATCAAATTTTATATTTTGAATACAGCAGTTTGTTAATGACAGGACCTAGAAAATTCCAGGAGATGGTTAGGGCGCTGTTGCTCTGCTGAATATACATATATCGCCAGCAGAGTATAAAAGTGACTATACAAAGAAGCTGGAGAGGATATGCGATGAATTCCTAAGTTCTACATTTAACTGATGTTGGGAAAATTCGATGCAAATATACCAACAGAAGATATTTTCAAACCCAAAATTTGCACGAGACCTCGTATGAAATTTGTTAGCTGTTGATGAGACTAGACAATCTTGCAATGTTAGAGAATGTAACTCTTAATGGTGCAATGTTTCCGCATCACAGCTTTGAATAATACGCATGGTTTTCGTCTGCTGGGGGGNTCACGTCTCTACGGATACAAACGGCACTCAGTACAATTAGGCATATGTGTAGGTTATATTTGAACTTAGTTAAAATCTGTTGAAATTAACAAGAAGCATAAATTAAAAAATGCTTCTTATTATTCATTTCAAAGTCTAATATCATCCAGTCTATTTTTCAAAATCTCTCGTAAAACGGCAAATTGGAAGAATGAAAGTAGATAGTAGCATGCAACACAAATTTTGAGCAGACTCTGGGCTCCTTAATTACCCTTCGTTTCCTGGGGCAAAAGAAAGACAATTCCGCACTCACGCAAAATAAAACTTGTATATTACATCGATATTATGTTGAATATTGCCACAGTACGAGTTATATTTGATTTACATTATGGATAGAGGTGTGACACTAGTCTAGTCTTCAGCTTACTGGGCGTCATCATGGTGACAGAGTCTTACCGGTGGTTTACTGGTTAGCATACTGGCCTAGTATTTAAAAGGTCACAATCCTTCTAAGGCAATAAGAATATAATACAAAATTTATCAATATAGTGACTACTGTCCCCCCCCAAATGTGTCTCCATCTTGTCGTGGTGGTGGGGCTTGCGTGACCCTGTGACCCGGAGAGCTATGCTGGCGGTAGTTTAACTACCGGTAGGGTCACCCATGCCGGAAAGGTCAAAGAGTAGAGTCCAGACTAAGAGAGATACCCAGGGCCACGCAATAGCTCAAGTAGTTAGTCGCTGGGTTTCCACCGCGGCGGCCCAAGTTCGATCCCGGGTCTGGTCATGTGGGATTTGTGGTGGACAAAGTGACGCTGAGGCAGGTTTTCTCCGAGTACTTCGGTTTCCTCTGTCAATCTTCATTCCACCAATTGCTCAACAATCACCCTCACCTATCATCTGGGGCCGGTACAATAGGCCAGAAGTGGCCGCAGTACAAGGGACTTAGTCCCACCCCACTAGCAATAAAAAAAGAGTGATACCCTGGTCCTCCAGGTTGGGGGTTGGACATGAGGCTAACAACCTCATCCTGTAAAATAATTTTGTTCAGAAACCTAACAACCAGCCTCGGGTCATCATGCGTGTGTCCATTCCTATGGCAGCACGCATTGGCTGTGGAGATTGGTTGTAGAGGAGGCCTAGGCTCGCCCAGGGCTGTAGCGCCGAGTGGTAGGTAGGTAAGTAGGTAGGTAGGTACTGACTACTGTACATCTAAAGACAAGAGCAGAGTGAAGTTCTGTATTGTGCATATCAAATATACCCCGGACGATGAACAGTTTATAACATACTGTTGCCTCTGTCAGCGGTCTTCAGAAAGTCTTATCTTGCTTTCAGTTGTGGTGACTGCCGAGTCTGCTTGTAACTCAGCTTCAGAATCTAAGTCACACATGAAGCGACTTAAGGAGAATCTGTTCAGGGACTATGACACCAGTTCGAGGCCAGTGCGACGTTGGTCGGACCGGACACAAGTGGCTGTTCAAATGATTCCACTGTCACTTGACTTTGTACGTTCTCACTTGCTACTCGCGCACGCCATTGCGCATGATTACATCAGAAAACAAGAAATACGAGAAATATACGTGTATAAGGAAAGTAATATAATTTGAGGACATACGCCGAAATAGCCACTAAGAAACTGTAAACCAGCTGATTTCAGATGCAATGCTCTAAATATGCAAGTATGTGTAACAAGATTTTGCAAACTAATAACGGCTCTATGTTTAAATATAGAAGTCAGTAAGAAGATTACACAAGGCTATTATTTTGGACAGTGTTCCTCGCCTTCAGTTTCTTTTAGATCTCAACGTTTCGGAAACAAAGTTTCCGAAACTTTGTGTTTGAAAAAAATTGAAGGCTCTGAAGTGTTTCCAAAATAATACTTACATTTACTCTAACACCCTATAGTCAGTACCATCCAGAGTTAGCGATATGGACACAGATCTACTCCACAAAATCCACAAACCACTTAAACTATTAATTTCTCGCATTTAAATATAAAACATGGACTTACATGAACATAGACATACATAGAATGTACACTAATTACATTTTATCTGTTCATTTCAGGATGAAATTTATGACGTATTTACCCTCCATTCTTCCTTGCACTTTGTAAGTATTATATATAATTTACCAATCTACGGGTATTTTCAACCTCATTGTAGTTTTTAATTTAATATGATTTACACGTAAATTCTGCAGGATCTTAATGCCTCACTTGCATTATATGCGTCAATTAATTTGCATGTCCTTCCTTCTCATATTACTAATTGAATTTGGACGGAATTTGTTGCTGAGGGAAAGAAACAGTTTTGTTTTTTGTCGACATAATACAGCGCAATACAGGCCCTGCATACACCTCAAAACTAATATTTTCTGTTTTCTGAAAAGCAGTTTCTCGAAAGAAGTATTGAACTTGACATAAAATATAGACTTCATTAAGGTCTAAGATTTGTGTTTGAAACTTGTTTCGATGCAGTGAGTATTTAACAAAGTAAAGTAAATTTAAATTCTCAATCCGTTTATTGCGGCATCTGTGATACGAATAACTTTGTAGTTCTCAGCACCAGTCACGGTAGCCGAGCGGCCTAAGGCATGCACTGTCTTCGCTGACTCGGAAGCCGGGATCGTGGGTTCGGATCTGTTTCCTGGGAGGTACGAACTGAATTCTTATAAATTATTCTTATACACTGCCGGTTAATGTAGCCGAGCATTCTAAGGCATGTATATACTGAGTTCGGTCGCTCGGAAGCCTGGTTCGTGGGTTCGAATCCCATACACGGCGTGAATATTTGATATGTGTATATGTTTATTCTGTGTTTGTGTTTACGTAGAGGCCTTGCGATGAGCTGATCACCCGTCCAAGGAGTCCTACCGTCTGAAAGATTATCATGAAACAGCCCACGGGGGCTGTACAGCCAGTGAAAAAAATAGTTGTCAGCAGTAATAGACTTGTACGTGTATTTACAAAAAACGGACATTGATGTCAGCTGGGTACGAAAAACTAATTTTGCAACGGAAAACTCCCCTACTTATAATTACAGTAAAATTTAATGCTTCGGTTTTCCATGCCAATTTTCATTCCACCAATTGCTCCAAAATCATCTATCATCTGGGGCTGGCATAGTAAGCTAGCAGTGGCCTCAGTACCAAATAGCCTCACCCTACTACAATAATAATATAATAATAAAGTAAAATTTCCTTTTCGCGCACAAACGAGTAGAAACTGCCTTGGAAATATGTGGCCGCCCCTAAGTAAGAGCGAAGTACATGCTTTGGAATGCTAGTTGGGGCACGGATGTCATCATTCAGTTTTGATTTTCAAAGCTTTGTGCCACGGGGCTATGAGAATCACCTGCCATTTTTAAACAAGGAAAAGCTTTAGAATCTCATTAAATAGAGGAAGAGCCGGGATAGCGACTGGCTAAGTGCTGCTCCCGGTGGGGGCAAGAATTTTCGCTTTTCATGTCGTCCAGATCGGTTCTGGGGCCCACCCAACCTCCTATCCAATGGACACTGGGGGCTCTTTCCCCGGGTTTAAAGTGGCCGGGGAGTGAAGCTGACCATTCACCTCCAACTAATGTCGAGGTCAAGAAAATGTGGATCTATACATCCACTCCCCCATACACCTTCCTGGCGTAATGCTTAATTAGACGGGAACAGGGACACATTTACCTTTTATTAAGCAGAGGAGCCCACGGAGGAAGACGAATCTGTAGAGCATATATTTTGTTAACACAGTGTAATTAGCACGCAGAAATGAAGGATGTTGTGCGGAAAGAACATATAGGAAGAAAGCGTTAGGGACAGAGCCAGTCTGAATGTAAGATAGATGACGTAAAAGGCGAATGAAGTATGTTACATAATCAGGAGCTTTGTGTTTTGGCCTTTATATCAGACATTCTTAATTTGATTAAAGAACGATTCATTGTCAGGACTTGTAGCACATATATGTATGAACTAAACGAAAAGTACAGAGCTTTGTTCGGAAGACCACAAGGAAAGGATCACTTGTCAGAACTAGGTGTAGGAAGGAAGTTCGTAGGCGTACTGTAACAGATCCTAGAGAAATAAGATACGTATATGTAGACTAGATTTTAATGTCGTAGAATAGGGCCAATATTGGCCCTCTTGTCTACACAATGATGAAATGTGGCCTTTGAAAAATACTGTCTCCTGGGCTGTGACCTTGTGTAATGCGCTAGAAGTTGACGAACTTGTATCTGACTGCATGGCGTCATATCCCTAGGCCCACTGGGGCTGTAGTGCCAAGGAAAAAAAATGTACATATATTGCTTACAGGCTTGGATAGATGAGTTCTTGGTGTGGAATGCTTCTGATTACGGAGGAATAGAACACATTCTACTTGATGGCGACTCGGTGTGGGTGCCCGAAGTGTTTCATCTGTAAGTCTGTACAAAATTACAAGTCCAAGAAGGTGCCCAAATTGGTAAGATGCCCAACTAAATAACATATTGTCGCGTGTTTCAGTGACCAAGAAGCGGATTTGGATCGGTGAATCGGTTTATTGGATATTCACTAGTCATAACTACAATCAGTTCTCACACTCTCAAGATTACTGTAACCATAGCACATTTAACGTCACATTAAGTCTTCTAATTCTTCTTCTGGTCACACTGCTGTTCTCTTGGTACTTCGGAACTCAAGTGAGGTCAATTTCCATTCCCGTATTCTCTTATATCCTCTCGGCACGGATCACTCACAGAAAATACTGTTCTATTGTTGCGTAGCGCAGACCACATTGAAAACAGGACACGTGACAGCTATGTAGCCAGTCCATTGGCACGCTGACTGTTACCTAACAAGGGACTATAAATATATTCTTCCTATTGTTGCATGACCTTAAGCGATAAGGTGTTTATCGCGCCCTTGCCTAGCTATAAACGTTACAGTATGTAGCCCTGCTATAGACGAGTGCTCATTCTAAGTCCACTATAAGAAGGTGAACCGAAACAAATTCTGCAGTACATGCAGGGTGCAATTCTCGTGTATTTTACTGTTCGAAACCACTTCTCTTTTACATTTGCTTAATAAATACTTGCAAATTATTTGTTGGTGGCTTACTTTCATGATATAACATTTTAATCTCGTGTGAAACAGTGTATGAATAATTGAATAAAGAAATAGATTATGAGGACGTGTGCTAGATTCATTTGGCTTGAGATAAGGGATCTGGGGAGCATGACACTGAATATTCGGGTTTCGCAGAAAGGGGAGAGAGAATTTGTACATTAGCCGAGCGAGTTATATATTCTGGAGAGGTATCTTCCATGGCGTTAGTTAAAAATGTGTAAACACAAGTTTCTGAAATGGAATTTCTTTTCAAGACCTATGAAACTTCTTATCTTCCCCATCCAAGCCTCAGACGTAAAGTAATGTTATTATTTGTAGCGTTAACGTGGTGAAAAATGGTAAATCTGCCCCTGTAACAGGCGCTGGAGGCCAAGAAGGTTGTGAGACGTCGAGACTGACACATTTTTCTTAGACAATCGGCTCACAGATGGCGGTAAGATCAACCTTACGTGCCGGTCTCACTTTATCCCCAGGAAGATTCTCGGTACTCATTTCTGCTAGTGGCTGATTCGATCCCGAGGCCATAGTGCGGCTGGAAGGATTAGGTCAATTAAAAAAAATCCAATGACCTCATCGGGAATCGAATCCGCTATCTTCCGTAGCATAGTGCCCCAATCAACTATGCTACCGCTTTAACCTGACCTAAAATAATTAAAATTTGTAAGACATCACAAAATAAATATTTTATATTTTATTGATGAAATTATCAATTTTTCCCAAGGGTTGTTTTTAAATTGGTATACTGGCAAGGTTCATACAGGATATCTCGCAGAACTTCAGAACGACGTGTAGCAGCTGAGCCACCGCTAGCAGTGGCAAGTCACTCCTCTCACAGCTACTTAGAAGGTCAGGAAAACCAGAAGAGTAATTGCGGAAAGGCGTAACACAACGAGGAGAGCAGGTTTTCCAGATGCGTTCTTTACTAACATTATATTCTAGCATCCTGTTCCACTTCATTAATGATGTTCCGTCCCACATGCAACACTTTTAAAATATTTGTATTAAAAAGTTACTACATATACATAATGAGTTTTTTAAACTTATTTAAAACCCACGTTGTCCACCGTATGTTGGGACCATCATTCATCATCATCAGATGTTTTTAGAAACTGTTCTGTGGAGACTCTAAACTTGCGCTTGTGTTTGAAACAGAATGCGTACTCCCACAGCACATTCGTGTTTTTCGTGGTGTTGCGTGTCTTCTCCTACCGCGTTTTGTGTTTAGACCACTATTTTGCATATCTTATTGGTTTTAACATTCACTTATTAAATTTTCTTAAACAGTTTTAGTGTAGATTTATAGCAATAAATTTAACCCAGCAATTTTGGAGATGAATCACTGGAACAGAAACTGAGCGACAACTATTTTACTTTGCGCACATTTTGTACATCTCGTGCAAACAACTGATACAAAGAGATCAGATTGAACACATCTGGTTTCTGTCTAGTGCTATATAGTCTGTAGGTACTGCTGAGACAAGTCCAACATGTCGGTAGCTATAACGGTGACTTCCTCTTTTCAGATCATCGTGGGACATTACGGATCTCATGGGGCGCAAGAGGTTGTGCAATTTGTTTTCGTCAGGTTGGCTTCATTGCTGGGATTACCCAATTCTCATAGCTCTCTGCCGCTTGGATCTCACTCACTGGCCATACGATTCTCAGAACTGCACTGTGACTTTGTCCACTGTCACCCAGTCTCTAGAAGAAATTGAACTGATGGTCATAGGTGCCGCTGTAAGTTATGCTGCTTTTCATCAAAGAAACCTTCTTGTGTTAGTATATTACCATGGTAACGTATTTTTTTACTGCTGGAAAATCATAGTTAGATTCAAAACTTTCAAGCATAAAAAAAGAGAGAGAATATATTTTCCGGCTTTGAAGGTTCCCAGGGAGTGCTCACTCGTCCTTCTGGTAAAGATAAATTGGAGAGAAGGTGAAAGCGTCTATAAGTGAAGAAGGTGAAGATTTATTGAGTGGACTTTGTTATTAGTAGGGCCTTCACTACATTCGATTGGAATTTTGATGTCAGCATTGGGAAGACTGCGCTAGGGTTGAGATTTGATTTAATGTTTGAAGGGCTACATGCCCTTTAGAATATGCCATTAGGAAGGTCCAGGAAAACCGGGTGGGACTGAAATTAAACGGGACACATCAGCTGTTGGTCTATGCCGATGATGTGAATATACTGGGTGATAATATAGATACCATAAAGATAATCACTTACTTACTTACTTACTTACTTACTTACTTATGGAGCTGAGCCCTTCTTGAGGAGAAGCCAAATCTGCAGCTACTCTCGAATTGCCCAACATTTTACGGAACCCAAAGGTTCATTACCGTGTTCACAAGAGTCCTCCACTGGTCCCTATTCTGAGCCAGAGCTATCCAATCCATACCATCCCATCCTATCTCTTTATCATCCATTCCATTATTGTCCACCCACCTACGCCTTGGTCTTCCCTGTGGTCTCTTTCCTTCTGGCTTTTCTACCAATATCCTATACACATTCCTCGTCTCCACCATTCGTGCTACATGACCTGCCCACCTCATCCTCCTTGACTTGATCACTTTAATTATACTTGGAGAAGAGTACAAGCTATGGAGCTCATCATTATGCAGTTTTCTCCAACCTCCTGTCACTTCATCTCTCTTCGGTCCAGATATTCTCCTCAACACCCTGTTCTCAAACACCCTCAATCTATGTTCCTCCCTTAATATCAGAGACCAAGTTTCACACCATACAGAACCACAGGCAAAATTATTGTTTTGTGTATTTCAAATATTTGTGCTTTCGGACAGCAGACGAGAGGACAAAAGGTTCTGGACTGAATGGTAGCAAGCATTACCCGAGTTCAATCTCCTCTTAATTTCCTCCTGAATCAGATTTTTTATATGTAAAGAAGAACACACAAACTTTAATTAACGCAAGGAGGTGGGTCTAGAAGTAAACACAGAGAAATAACGCAAGGAGGTGGGTCTAGAAGTAAACACAGAGAAAACTAAGTATATGTTGCCGTCTCGTCACCAAAATTCAGGGCAAAACTATGACATAAAGATACGAAACAGATATTTGGGAACGACGATAAAAACTCAAAATCTGATATGTGTGTATTGTCTACTGTAGGGATGTCCAACGCGTCGATCGCGGGACGATTTTTGGTCGATCTCATAGGCCTATAAGGAAATTATACGTGAAAAGCATGTAAATTCACTTATAATATAATATGATTATATTCAGATTTTGAAGGGAAAATACGTATTAGTCATTCCTATTTTTCTGTTCTTATGTAGCTTAAGTGAAAATTGCTTTACACTTGTGTTAAGTGAAATGTGGGGAGTTCACTGCTCTAGCCTTATCACGAGAACTCTTTATTTCATCACTCGACGTTAGCCGCATGTGTTCTGATGCAAGAGCGATGGACAGAACGTGTGATTCACTAGAAATGATGTGTGGAAACATAACTGAACAGTTGTTGGAAGATGTTTCCAATTGTGTTGCTTTCTCCCTCCAACTGGATGAATCTACAGACATCAGAGACACAGCCCAGTTACTAGTTGCTTTTACAGCAAACATCATGTGTCGTGTTATTTTTACCAATGCTTTTGCTTAAAGCGAGGTACGACGATAGGAGGGGGTGGTAGATCACTGGCAGTTTTGACACTAACAAGTCGATTGCAACCTGTTTGAAGCTGGACATGCCTGGTCTACTGCAGTCTGTGTTGTGTGTTTGAAGGTTAATTTACAAGAATACATCCCCAGCCGAGCATGGAAACTGCTCACTGTAACAGTCAGCCAGTACAACCATATATTTGGGAACAAAGTATTTCCTTGCTTGCAATACAACTTGCTGCTGAGAAGAAGTGACGCCATTTCCGGGGTCACAATTGTCGTTCCTATAATAGGTAAGCAGCTGCATTATCAGTTTATGTAATAATGGCTGACTTAAATTATATCGGAAAATGATTACAAGCAATGAGTGGGTGAGGATGTGGAAGGAAACAGTCTTGTCAATGTTGGCACTGTTATTGCAACATAGACTGGAGAGGCTTAAGAGGACCACGACGAACATAACCGTTGCTTAATGTATTTAAGATGCTTTGTTTGCACCATTCCTGTGAGAAATCTTTGTCTTCTGTCTGCAGTGCTCGTCTTCTTAGTGCTGTCGTCCTTCTGGCTGAACTCTGAGCAGGAAGTTCGCGTCAACCTGTGTTGCACTCTGCTTGTATGCCATGTCCTGTTTCTCCAGAACATTGGCCACATAAATAACGGAGACAATGCACCTGTTATAGGTATGTTGTTACTGTCGCTTGCGGAACTTTTTTGTTTGTTTGTAGTTTGTTTAACTAAAGTAACTCCATGAAGTTAGGAGCCGTCAGTCGCTTAGCTATTCAAGGATATCTAAAAATTTTATGGAACCCGAATGTTCATTACAGTGTACACAAAACCCCTTCACCGGCCCCTATCCTGAGCTAGATCAATCTCTCGATGACAGTGGACAATGAACTGGACGCGGGAGGAAGCGATCTTTGATTTATGGTATTACCTCGGCATATCTTTGGGGGAACTTAGAAAACCACGGACAGCCTCAGCGAAGCTAGTGGATGTCCCGGCCGTGGCTCGAATCGGACATCTTCAGAATACATGATCCAACTTCCTTGGTCAAGTTACGGGAGTTGGGGCGGAGGGGGATGGATTTACCTTACAAAATTGAGTTTATATTATTAAACACAAATTAAATTTAATTACGATTATTTCAGATTTCATAGTTGCATAATGTTTTTATCTCTGTAGACACGAGCGCGCACGCACCCACGCACATACAACTTACATTTAATGATTTAGCGGTTTCAACGAAAATAGGGTGGAGGTTTGTGGGGTGTGGACGGATTTGTTCTGCCTCAGGATATACGTCAGTGGGGGCTCTTGTGAACATGGTAATGAACCTTGGGGTTCCATAAATTATTGGGAATTTGTTGAGTGGTTGGGCAACTCTTGTCTCTTGTCTTATCCAGAAGAACTTGGTTCCATTTGATTAGCGGCATCTACTGCCAGATTCATTTGACAGCACGACTCACTTGTAACGTTGAAATGTTCCGTCCATCTTTACCCGTATATTCCTCGACGGCTTGGCTCACTTGATATGGGTTTGGATTTCATTGTTCATCTGACTTTTGGAGAGAGTTTGGTTGCAATGTGGGTGCTTGTCCCGCTCCACTTCCAGTCCCTAAAGATTCTCTACTGCTCTTAGAGATGCCCCCACCCCTGTTAGGGTCACCCCCCACTAATGTCAGTTCTGCAGATCCTCACAGGTCAGTATCATATACTGCACTGGGAGTGGGAGCAGGGAAAGTCGCCCTTAAATTTGATAGTAGAACAGGAAGATGAAATTTGATTCAACATTAAGAGGGTTGCATTCGGGGGAGATTTTAATATTAGAATGGGGAATCTGCATGTGAGGGAAGCAGTGAAACCTAAGTTAAGGTGCTTACGAGCTGAAAATAATGCTAGCAATACCATATTGTGAACACAGAGTCAGGGGCCAAGGGATTTGCCCTAGAATCACGGCCTTGAAGCCCCTATTTCGAGATGTGTGGAATTGTGGTAACGCCTGACGAACTATGTTTGCAGATACTAGTCCAAATTAATAAAAACTGTTAGTCTGATGAAAGTGAGCTTTTCTCATTGCCTCCAAGCGCTACTTCTTTCATCAGTGTAAAGTTTCCCGTACCTAAGCGCCAAGCAGTTAACTTGTATAGGAGACTTGGAGATAAATCTACATTCCTTCTTAATATTTGCACTAGATGAAAGGAAAGGGTCGGCTACACACTGCAGCACTATCTGCTGGCAGGCTGCAAGAACCAGTCAAGAAAATTAATACAGAAATGCATCGACAATTACGTGTATATTGTTAAATATGTCTTGTGAGCACAGATTTCATACCAGCGATAACAGAATCAATAGAGACCAGTAGGGAGATATGTGAAACATGGCGCATGAACACAAGAGAGTCTTGTCAGAACTGAATAGTTCCAAACAAGTGAATAACGTATCTGTCAGTTTGAACTCAACCTATGTGGCATTAGGCCCACCTGGTGAGACTGAAATGAGTGATGCTACAATTCTTGAAAATAGAAATTTATTTCTGCTACATATATCTGTTTCACATTAACAGTGCTGTTCTTTCGAGACTCGTTGGTGCTCTGCGTGTTTTCGTTGGAATTTGCAGTCTTCATGCAGTGGCTCAATACAACTTCACCGAGAAAGGTTCCATACTTTTTTAACAGCGTTTTCGATAGCGGACCAGCTTGGATGCTGCTTTTGTTAGGAAGAAGAAACTGCCTGAAAGTAAGGAAATAGTCATTACGTATTTGTGAAGTACATTCATGTGTGCTCTGTATCAGCGGTTCCGATTTATTTGACAGGGAAGTGAGACACTGAACGACGGGAGACAAGAAACTGCTGATCCGGAGACTGTGTCAGATGTCAAGACAAGATGGCGTGACTTTGGAGGCCTGCTGAATCACCTCTTCTTCCTTGTGTACTGCCTCATTTATCTGATACTAATATTTATGTACGTGGTGTAAGTGTGATGGTGTATTTGTTTAAGCAGATAAAGAGAATCAGTACACATATTTTTAATTTCATTGCTTCATATTTTCTTTCTGAACGCCATTTATCGTTTCTTGTGAGTTACAAACTTAATAGTTGTAATTAGCGTCCATTTTTATCTTCTGTCAAAACTGCAATACTTTTACATTCTACACTTCAACACTACATGTTTCGGCCTCAGGTGTTTTTATGTTACAGATATTTTACTAAAACTGTGTTGTTGTGTGTTATTGAAAATAATTTTATACGTACTTTAAACCATCAAGTAACTTAATTTCTCCTTATGTATATTATTTATTTACTAATGTGTTTTGTATCGTTCACATGTTTCCCCACGGAGGCATGAAACATATTGCACAATGCAGTACACAGCACAGTATAGGCTTCAGCAAGTAGGATACTGAGATGACATTAGGACGGGCAACTTGCACAGCCTCCAATTAAGAAAAACATTTGTAAGCTTGCGAATAAATTGGTGCCATTATTTATCTATATTTATGTTATTCTATCAAGCTCACATGAATCAGTATTTGTGTCAGCGTCGAAGATGGTCAAACCGCCTCTGTGGTCTAGTGGTCAGAGTTCCTGGCTACAGATCCAGAGACCCGCGTTCGATTCCCGGAGCTACCTGAGTTTCTGAGAAGTAGTGGTTCTGTAACGAGGTTCACTCAGGCTCGTGATGATAACTGAGGAGCTATTTCAAGGAAATAGCGGCTCCGGTCTAGAAAACCGAGATTAACGGCCGTGGGAATCCGTTGCGCTGACCACGCGACACCCTCCATCCGCTAAAGCTGGCACTAACTTCGCCGACAAGCGGCGGTCGCTCGGTCTGTATAGTTCGCTTGCGGACTACAGGTCATGGAGTTTTTTTTTTTGTCGAAGATGGTTCTCAGAGAACAGTATATAGAGTATCCACATTTTGCACAACAATATGACACACCTCTTTTTCAATGGCTTTTCCAGCCCATTCAGCCTGCAGCCCCACCCTTCAGTTTCGTAATAATTTTTTACAGACTGTAGGACTCCTTGGACGAGTGATCAGCCCTTCGCAAAGCCTCTACCTAAACACAGGAAAACACAAACACAGAATAAACGCATACACACACCAAACATACCTACCTTGAGTGGGATTCGAACGCACGATCCCAGCGTCCGAGCGAGCGACGACAGTTCATGCCTTAGGCTCAACCGTTCTCATGAGCTTGCAAATAGGACTGAGACCAGAGTACCGAGGGACTCAGTCTCACATTCATACAGCCAAAGAAATCTGAAGCAATGGAACGTGAAGACATGTTCCAGCCAGGATCAAAATTGTAGCATAAAGCGTTGTACTGACACAAGTACACACCTTCTTACATTCGGGATGTAAAATTTCATACAAAAAGGAAAAGCATATGACGTAAAAATATGTTTACATTTGGATGGCTTAGGAGTTGCCTGTTTCGGGCCGATATCCCCAGACGCTTCGGTGTCGTCACTCCATTTCCGTTATCCCATAATTCCACGTACGACGCGATTTTCCTTCCTCCTTTGTTCAGAAAAGAAACACCTTCGTCGGTGTGGGTAGTGACATGAGAAAAGTCTTTGTTTTCCAGCGATTGGGCGAAGTAGATCGCTAAATTTATTTCAATTGATCTTCCCAATTTGTGCTTGGACTCTTCACTCCGGCCGTTGAGTGCAAGGGGCCTCTTCGTTGCAACGGCATGTAAGTCATTTTCATTTTGGAATGTTGTAACGAGAGTTTATTGGGTGTTATTATTGGTTTGGGTTTGCTGCTGTCCTATTTGTTGTTTTTGTACGTCTAGACAATGGAGTAACATTGCGATTTGGGTTGTATGGCAATGTTACGTGAGTTTGGCCATTTTATAGGCCTGGAATAAATAGGCGGCTCCATGTGGCTGCTTTGTGTATACTTGTTTATATTGGGTTTTGTTCTGAACCGACCAAGGCCGTCGAGGGGATAGATTTGTTTCTTAGGCATATTTTAGTACCAGCATAATGGTGCAAGTCTTACTTATCTTTTATTGATATTTTTAACTGTTATGAAATACATATTTTGGAGATTCAATCTCTTCTTACTAAAGCTAATCTTGGACACCTCGTTCAGACTGGGAAGGACTGTGAACACAGTGAATGAAACAGGGACAAATGCAGCGATCTCCCCACAGACTGTAGGGTAAAGAGGGGAGGAGCTAATAAGTTTTGCAAATTTTCGGAATTTGAAAGTCTTGATACAATTGCGTTAAAAGACTTAATGTTCTGAAATGATATTCTATCTGTCTCTTGAAGTTTAGATAATTATGATATCTGGATAGTTAAATAATGAGCCATAAGAAGACTGGGGGTAACAGGAATGAGATTCATAACAGGACACAGTTTGTCAGGTCGTTGAGGAAATGAACTCGACATTGACTCAGTAAAAGAATCATGGCGTTCTAAACAAAATTCGTAATTTAGATCATGTTATATACTCGAAACAACTTTCTGCCTGTCTACCTCTCGGAAGACTAGACGATCTTTAATGAGATTCCTGAAAGTAAACAATGCCGAGACAGAAACAGGTCACTTACTTGCCTAACTTTGTGACTGGAAGAAGTGTCGCTTCCTCCGTCACCTGTTTTCTTTGTACGAGAACACTTACATAATGGCGATAATGTTGCTCATTTGTAGGGCAAGTTGTTAGACTCCTTCACTGAACTCTACGCTCCCCAGCTCACATGGTTTGGCCATGTTTCTTACTCCGTGGCAACTGTACTGAAATAACTTCCGATGTTACAGAACCTGAAGTAAAGGCTTGTCTAGTTGCGGTTACCTCATCTGAAAGTTAAACGAAAAATTTTAGGATGATAAAATGAGAGGGGAATGTAATATAAAAAATGAAAATTGATACTGTCACATGTAGGGGATTACGCGTGACGAAAATAACGGGTTATAGTTCGGATATACGAGTAACTTCTTTATTAAAACCATCACAACACAACTATATCAAGTTCAGTGCCTAGTTGGGCTCTGCTACATGTTTCGGCTATTAATAGCCATCATCAGGCAAATAAATGGCTAACATATATGCACCACTGAACTGCAGTATTAATAACATTGAATACACTAATATTAATATATTAAAATACTTGACGTAAAAATACAATAAATTATATTATATAAAACAAAAGTTATAGTATGAAACAAGAATAAAATTCTTCGATTGATGCTTTACATCATCGAATCAGTCGTTGGTTTTTTAAATTTTGTTGTGTTCCCACGGAAGATTTGGAGTATTCTATATTTTGTATGTATATAAAAAACTGTTATTGGAGGCTCGTGATGTAGATGTAGTAATATAAATGTTAATTATTTAGTCGGTGCCTCATCTTACAAAGTATTGTCCGTTCTGTAGGGAATGTAAACGACTCGTAACGTGTAGCAGAGCCAGAACTAGGCACTGACATTGATATAGGTGTGTTGTGACGGTTTTAATAAAGAAGTTATATATTATAACACAACAGGATGCATGAAATGAAAATTATAGTTCGGATGATTGGATTTATTAGCACCTTGGTTACAATTTCTCTTAATTACCATCAAGAGAGCGCTATCGCTGATTTACACAATTTCCAGTCCACCGTTGCACACGCACTAGGATTCTCAATTTCCACTAGTCGCCTAGCAACGGATCTCAACACAGAAACTAGCGCTTCATATCACTATGAAGTCTTCTTGCTATTTCGTCTTCAATCACACTGGAACCTTGGAACTAAAAATTCTGCTGGACTCAGTCCTGAAGCTTACGACTGATTCGTAACTGCCTTTGAACTAACTATGTCACTGCAATCACTTCTCTTAAAAGCACTCTGCACAGACCCCACGGAAAACACCGTCACTGATTACAGGGAAGTGTGTTTACCGAGCCGTTGCATAATCCCATTGTTCCACGGCTGCTCGCGCGGCCGACGTAGAAAACACAGCGTTATATTTTGCGCGTTGGACCGTGTTTACAGATCTGTTGCCTAGCAACGCGTTGATCAAATCTGTTGCAATACTATTAATGCATGAACACTTCCAAATTTACTAGGGTAGGATTACAATTGTATTCGCGAATATAAATTCGAAAGAGACCTTCCCACTAGCATACTTGGAGACATGAGAAATGCACACTGAATCTTAGTTCGATAAGCTAACTTTGCAAACGTAGACATAAACAGAAAACCAATATTAAAATGAGGCGCAGAGAATTGTGCTTGAAGGTGTAAACTATATTCAGATGACTCTGTTTAGGGCCTAGTGTTAGGTCCTTGTGAAGGCAGATTTCGTAAATGATTATCATTTCATAGGGAGCTGAGGGCATATTAGCTTCACGAATTCTATCACATGGGGTTAGTTATTTACGATCAAACTTAAGAAATAGTTAATTTGCAATTTATGTACACTGGACTAAACTCAAACATCACGTAAGTGAAATTAAATTAGATTACGCGAGAAGAACATAATCTACCTAAATTTGTACAAAATATCGCCAAATTGAAATTGGACTGATGACGACACGAAAATGTGTTTGCATTTACTTTGCTAGAACAACTACAGAGGCCTGTTCGTGACCGCAAATTTTCAAATAAAAGGGGCACAGACTACTGAGAATGTTCTTTTTCGGGGGGGGGGGTTCTTTCCAACGACATTAATTGTCAATAATGAAGATCGTGCCTTGAACTAGATCTACCTACTCACCTACCTACCTATCTGTCTACTCACCTACCACCCACCAAGGGCTGTACAATCTTCTTGGACCTTGGCTGTCTTTTCAGTTCCTTATTCTCATACATAGTCAGTAGGACTCCTTGGACGCGGGATCAGCCCGTCGCAAGGCCACTGCCTACACATAGGACAACACAAACACAGAATAAACGCACACAGACATCCATGCCTCGTGTGGGATTCGAACCCACGATCCCATTGTTCGAGTAGATGAAAACAGTTCATGCCTTAGACCGCGCGGCCACTGTGATCGGTTCTTGAACTAGAACTGCACCAATATAACCCACAG